CAGTCTTTAATGGAGTTCCAGGGGATCCAAAGCCCTCTTCTGACCTCCATGAGCATTGCATGACATAGGTGCACTTACATGCATGCAGGCAATACACTCATACACAGAAAATAAAAATAATAAATAAAAAAATTTTTAATCTGGGTCAAAGGGAAATGTCATTCAAGTTCTAGTAATTCAAAAATGACCAGATTTTTCAATCCTGGTTTGAATGGTTTAGGACATGCAGGTTCTAAGACACTCTGAACGCACTGTCCTCTTGTGCAAAGTTCTTTCAGAGCCTTTTGAGACAAAGAGGAAGCCCACTCTAAATGAAGCCACTTATATTAAAGCCCATGGTAGACATATGCCACATGCATTCCAGGACACTCATGTGCACACACAGACACACATTCATGTACACCATACACACATGGCCACAGGCATCTTCTCTATACACCAAGCTCTCCAGTGCTGCCTGACTGAGAGGTTGTCACACTGTTCCAATCCCCTACTCACCCCGTCCCCACACTCACCACTCTGAGATGAAAATAATGGATAAGACCTAAAGTGTGCCTCTCCCACATATTTACATAATTATAACTCTCGTGTGGCCTGGTTGCAAAGACTTTGGTGTGGTTTCTAGGGAGGAGAAGGAATTTAAGCGATAAGCCTTGGGATGTTGTAGATTATCCCTGGCATTCTCCAACTGCACCGGTCAGAAGCAAATCCTTGGTGCCATTACATCTTACCAGCCCTACCACTATTTCCACCAGTGTCCTTCAGAATACGAATTTTTCTTCATTTTTCATATTTATTTATTTAGTGTATATGTATGTGGCAGGGGAGGGTACCATGGCCTATTTGCAGAGGTCAGAGGACAACTTGGGAAGTTGGTTCTCTCCTTCCACAGTGTGGGTTGCAGAGATAAAACTCAGATCGTCAGGTTTGTCAGCACGTGCCTTTATGCTCTGAACCATCTCACTGTACCAGAATATGTTTTTTTCCTTTTTTCTTTCCATGACACCTGGGCATATCAGATAACTGTTCTACCTCTAAGCTAAATTCTCAGTCCCAGGCCTGTACAATTTGAATCAGAGTGCTATCTGGAATGCTTTCTAGTCATTTGTATGAAGCAGTCAATCAATTGACTTTTATTTATAATGTCTGGTTCCCTCCCCCTACCCTGTGTGTCCTTGAAGAGCAGGGAACATGCTTTCACAGTCTTTGTGTCCTCTTCCTCTCCCAAGCACTGATGCAATCTTAGCAAACATTAGATGTTGAGAATATACTCTACGCAGGGAATGTGAGGCAAATTAGGACAGGACCTACTGGTGGGAAGAGGCCAGAGTATGGGCACAGTTCACACAAGGAGGGCCAGCAAAAATAGTGATCATTGTTAAAGTAATTAACTGGGAGACTACTCTGAGCCTTGGGTTCCTCCTTCAGTAAACTAAGACGTAATTCAGAGTGAACAGCCATAGCCTAAGAAAACGAAACTTAGATTATCTGCCAACCAGAAACTGCCAACTAACCTCTAATTAGAGATTTAAACAATTAGAAACCACGGGTCAACATTTAAGTTGGAACTTTCCACTTTTTCCATTTTAACTAATCAAGTTTTCCTTCCCCTTGTTTCCTAAATGCCTTATAAAACTCCTTCCCCCCTTGGTAGACCCCTAAACTACTTGCAGTCTGGAGCTGCCTGATTCATGAATCGCTTGAACTCTAATATGCCTAAGTTTATGTGCCTTAGTTTATCTTTCAGCCCACCATGAGAAGATGAAGCAGGGGTCAGGCTGACTGTGGAACCAGAGCACAAAAGCTAACTTCTGGCTGTGGGGTGAGGAGGCCAGGATGAACAGAGGTTCTGGTAGCATCTGGATCAATCTAGTGACAATCCTAGGGGCCCCAGCTTAACATCCTGGTTTTGCTTGAAATATCCAGATGATTCCTCTGGGCCTCCCAGGTATAGTCTAAACTAACTCCTTTGCAAGACATTAACAATTGGGCTCCACCCATCTTCCCATTTTAATCTTCAGCAACTCTTCAACCACAAGCCTCGCGTTGCAGCCACATGGATGACTCACCATGCCCCCAGACACGCCAAGACTTCTTTTCCATTAGGCCTTCCTGAACTACTGTTTCTGCTTAGAATGCCTGACCCCACATTCTTTGCCAGAAAACCTTTTTTCTTTGAGGCTCAGGTTAGATGTCCCTTCCTTTATGTGGCCCTGCTCAGCCTTCCTGGGCAGCTCGTCCTCTGGGCTACAAGGGTATCAGTCTATTTTGCCGCTGCAGCCCAAACAGCTGCATATCCATCTGCACATTGAAGATTTTGTACTCAGCACCTTGTATATTACCAGCTGCTGTTCTGGCCACTGGTGATACAAAACTGGACAGATGTTGCCTTCAGAGTCCTAGTACTTAAGCACATAGCAACAATGAGACAGAAGATAAAGTACCGGAGACAGGCACAGGCTACAGAGAAGCAGCTCAGGGAAAGATCCCAAACACAGAGCTGTAATGCCTGTTCTGACTTAAAACCCTGTAGCTTCTCTGTGGACTTAATATGCTAAAGTTGGACACAAAAGTAAGAATGCCAGCTTCTCACCCTTCAGCTGAACCAGCAAAGCACAGGCTTTCTGCTCGGGCATGAGCAGGGCCACAGATTTTCTGCCTTGGGGCTCTAAGGGCAAGGCTTTCAACTGTACACTCTCAGAAGAGTCACACCTGGTATTCCTGGTTGAGATGCCCCTTTCCACTCAGGGGCTCCATTAGACTGTGAGCCAGGAGAAGCAGTGGGTGGTCTTCCAAGGAGAAATAAGCAGGGTACCTAATGGCCCTTTCGCAGCCCATGGCACAGGGTCCTCCTATGGCTGTTGCAACAAATTATCACAAACTCAATAGTTTAAAATAATGCAAGTGTATTATTTTACAATTCTGGAGCCGGAAGTCTGAGGTCAGAGTGAGGAGGGCTCTGGAAGGCAATCCATTCTTTTTGCTTTCTCCAGTTTCTAGAAATCACTTGCATTCATCTGCTCCTGCTCCCTATCTCCATCCTCAAACTTCCCAGCAAAGATCCCTTCAGTCTGTCTGACCCTTTCCCCTTTCTCATGAGGCAAAGTCTCTTCTGTCATGTAATAATCACAGATTCTGGAGGTTAAGATGCAGACATCCCTAATGGACCATTATGTTGCCTTCTATAGACCTTGAGCCAGATGGACTCAGTGTTGGGGCACCAGGCTGGGCCTCTGCCTTCTGCCGTCCTATCGACTCTGTTCAAAGTAGAACTCAGTGCCAGCTGAGGGCTCATTCTCCTTAGTGAGCCGCACTGGCTGCTGGGGCTCAGCTGGGACACAGAGGAACCAGCCAGGGAAGGCAGCAGCCTCAAGCCTAAAAGCAGAGCCGAAGCTGCTCTGGAAGAAGGTGAAGCGGGTGGCTTCTTCGCCGCCCTTGTACAGGTCCTCGATGCTCACATCCTGTGGGAGCAAGAGGGCAGCTGTAGGATGAGTGTGCCAACTGGGATATCAGGGCCAAGCCTCAGGCACTTGGCCAAAGAGGGATTCAACAGGGCATGTTATCCAGGAATATGCCTTCTGCAGATTCTAAAAGGTAAGGGTCTCCTTGCTGAATGCAGAGAGAGATGGTAGAAACATAGCGGGTAGATATGCAGCTACAAAAATCCACCACACCACATCATGGGGGCAAAATTAGGTCTGCAATGTTCCCAGGAAAGGGCAAGGGTCTCTCACCTCCAGCTGAAGGGAAGGTTCCTCTTTTGTCTTCACACATGCCAAGCAGCGACTCCCTCCCTGGATCCCCAAAAAAATGGGAACCTTGCTGCGATCCAAGCCTCTGTTAGGAAGTATGCAGATCTTCTCTGGGTAGGAAGAGAAAAGCAGACAGGAAATGAGGAGGCCCCAGATGGTAGGCTTTCATCAAGAGAAGGCCGAGCAAGAAGGAACAGGGCCTGGCATAGCTGGCCTGTGTCTGCATGCAGACTCCAGGGTGAGTGGGACTCACCAGGTCAGGCTGAAGCTGCTGCCTACCTCTTATTGTCATGAGGGCAACTGCTGCCCTTCTGGTGGGGACAAGTGAAGAGAAGAGAATCAAGGGTTTGTAACAGATGGAGAGTGGGAAAATCCCAGGAGAGAGGCCCCCAGAAGCTTACCTGCATAACAGTTGTCTGTATCAGGGTCTCCTACCAGTAGCTGGCCATCCCGTGTATACAGAACCTTCTGATTTGCATCTTTGATTCTAGAACAAGATGGCAGTGTTGGCAGCCCACTGCCTTCAGGGATCATTGGGCCCTCCAGTCCCCGTGCTCTGGACCACCATACCGAGCCTTTAGTTAATTCTCTCTGTCCTCAGAAAAGGAACACAGCTCCACTGAGAGCAGAATCAGGTCCATCTCAAAGCAAGAGCAGGCCTCCCAGCCTCCCATGTGTCAAGAAGTTCAGGGGGAGTGATTTGGAGCCAAAACCTTCTCATGAAGAGACAGAGATGATTTTGTAGCTGTCTGAGAAGTTTCCAGTGAGGCTCAGGTGATTAGGGATACAGTGAGCCCTATTTCATATTTTCTGAGCTTGCTTTAATTTTTCATAGATGTTAATTCTCTTTAATGAAGGGATTGAGGGTGTAACAAAGTATGATTTTGTAGATTTTTAAAGACTTTTTTTAGGAGAAAATTCACAAATAAGAAATCTGAAAATAGGAAAGTATATGTTCAGCATGTCTACTACCCCATTCTAGCCATTGGTGAGGTGCAATCTGGGTGGACCAAAAACAATAGGTCGGTCTAAAGCTAGATCAGGGCCTGATTACAGTCACTGAGGATGGCTATGATCTAATGACCGGCCTGTGAAGGAAGTATGCACTGGGGAAGCTGGGTAGAAACATCAAAGTCACGTGGGTTATTAGCCCAGTAGTCTGGCTGGTTTCAGAGATGCTTTCAGAGCCTAGGGAGCTCTCAATTCTTTTGAGGGCAGAACCTTTGGACCAATGCCACCACCTCCAGGAGATTTCTCTCTCCATGCAACAACTAGTTACAATACCTTGGCTCATCAACTGTATTTTTAAAAGGCTGCTTACATGATTAAAACAAAAATCTGCCAAGATCTTGCCAACCTGCATTCTTCTCAAACTCTGAGAACTGGAACTTAACAACTTATGTACTAGCAGCATCCTATTTAGAGACCATGAATTTATTAACAAGGATGTTGAATATCAAGCCAGATATGGCGGTATAAAACCATTAATCCCAGTACTTGGGAGATAGGGGTAGGTAGATCTAGCTAGACAGGACTATATAAAGTGAGAACTTGTCTCAAAAAACATTTTTTTAAAAAAGGACATGGGCAGTTCAAACACAAATAAAAGTTAGAAGCTGGACTTGAAGAAAGACCACAGAAGTCACCATAAAGGGTCACTGGGACTCAGATTGTCTGGGTTTTCTGAAAGACTTGGGTATAGAAGCTTGGAGAATATGGAGTATGGTCCCACATTCTACTTTATGGTAACTGTGCAGCATGAGGAAAGTTATACAACTGCTTCGAGCCTCAGTTTCCAGATCTGTAAAATGGGGATAGTGATTTTCTTATAGATTTCTTGGGTAAGCATCAGGAAGGAGGGCTACTGTTGTTGAGGACTATGATGAAGGGTAATTATGGGGTACTTGAGATTTCTATGGTCAGGAGCCTCTGACCATATGAGTCATCCCTCTGACTCAGCCTTTTCTGTTCTTCTCGTGTGACCTCTAGACCCCTTGGTTGAGAAAGCAAGGGACATGCCAGGATTACTTACATGTAGTATCTTGCCATAGGAAGAGAGCACATTCCTACAATTAGGAGTGTCGAGTCCTCACTGGGGAAAAGGAAAAAAACGCCGTCAGAAGAGCAGGATGGTAGAGCTGGGGGCAGACATATTGGGGTACAGACCCACCCAGTCACAAGATGACCCCCACCCTCAGGTCTCCCCAGCCCTCTCAGTTCCCAGATCTGCCTCTTCCTTATTCTCGGCCATTGGATCAAGTTTAGCAAGCAGGGGTGTGAGCCCGGGACGTGCATGATGATGCTAGTTCTTAGAAACTAGAAAACAGGTTCACCTAAAGAGCTTAGTCAGGCCACTTCCCAGGATGAGAAGTAGGGTGTGCTGCCTCTGGGCTGATCCAGTCCCACTTCCCAGTCAGGTCTGAAGGACACCATGATACTCTGCTCACCCCCATAACCTAGTAAGAAATAAGATACCTATAGTCCAGAGCCATAAGGGGTAGTTTGACTAAGGCAGGATCTTTTGGGGGAGGGGTTAGGAGGCATCATTCCTAGGAACCACTTTGTTGAGACAGTTGAGAGCTTGTCTAAACGTCAAATGTGTCTATTCTTTTCCAGGCAGAAATCCTACTAGGCTTGAGATACAGACATGCTTTGAGGAATGAATCCTCTAAATGAAGACAGTGACCTATATACAAACCAAGCCACAAAGCTTTCCAGGACTGTGTTCCTTCCTGGAGGATTATCCTATCCCAGAGCTCCACCCTGAAACGATCACCTTGAAAGGCCAACCCAGAAGAGCATGGAAATAAACCCAGGATGAATCAAAGAAGGAAAAGAGATAATAAAAGTAGATGCGAGGTTGACTAAAACTGAATCGTACTGAGCTCTGGTCTTGCCGAGAAAGAAGTGGTAAGGACAGAAACAAGTATATAAGAAAGCACAAAATGAGACAGGAAGGAAGAATGTGGGGAGAAAAGAGTCAGGATCAGAGGTGATGTGATGCTAAGGGAGGCAGGTATGGAGAAGGTTGATCAACCAGGTTGATGTTGAGGTCAGGAATACAGACCACTTCAGCATCACTGAGCTCCATGGGCTAGTGTTACGAGGAATAGGGCTGTAAGCCAGGTAGCTTTTATTATTGGTTATACAATTCTGTCACCTCAGACAAGTCACTGAAGCAAGAGTTTTGAGGGTGAAGGATAACAGCACACTGATAGAGTGAAGATTCTTCATGAATAATTGGGCTATGAATCAGACTCAAAACATTCTGTCTACTCTGTGATGGCGTGCGTTTTCCCTTATTCCAGAGAAAAAGTAATGGATTGCCCAAAATGTTTAGTCATAAAAACATTCAATTATTTTTTACAAGAGTGAGAAGTTGGAAATGATCTAAATGCCCAATAATAGGCAAGTGTCTAAAAGAGTCTGACAAATTCAGTAAATAAGAAACAAATGCTCATTAAAGATGATATTTATGGCATAAAAAATGTCCCAAGTATGTCAAGTGAAAACTGTAGGTTATAATTAATATGTATATTATAATCACAATTAAATCCACATACATAGAGAGACATGCACGGAGGCCAAGGCCGCCAGTGCTGTTACAGCGCTCATCTATGGCTGACAGGATTGTGAATGATTGGTAATACTTAACATTTTTCCTATAGTAAATTGAATATCTTTTGTAACCTAAGTCTTAGTCTTTAAAAACTGAAGTGTTCCATTAATGTTGTTAATTCCAAATCATGCTTGCCTATTGAATCATCTAAGGGACTTGACAGCATTTCCCCTGAGCTGAACTTATCAGTGATAAGCCAGATGTAGGTCCTGGCATGTATCTTGGTGCTTCTCATTCATTAATACACATTTCAATATCCTGCAGCTCGTATTAAAATACAGATTCTGGTTCCCTAAGTCTGGGGTGGGGCCTGAGACTGCATTTCAGACTTGAATCCACGTGACGCTAATGCTGCTGGTCTTTGGAACACACTTGGAGTAGCGAAGTAGAGAAGATTTCTCTAGCCTAGGCAGACCAAGAGTAGTGGAGCCTCAAGGCAAGCCTACTTCATGATGTGCCCCCTCTTGGCCAGACCACTTGAGGCTCCTTTGGTTGTAGCAGAAGAACTAAGAACATCCAGGAAACTGTGCTGAGTCCAGGAGGGGACAACGAAGTGGACGGCCCTGTGTAAAGCTGGATAGTCAGACTGACGACTCCTACTTTTGGTTCATGTCAGCTCAAGAGCTGACAGACATTCAGTGGTAATCTACTCAAGCTGGATCTTCTGGGCTCTAGAACCCTGCCATCCTGGAATAGTCCAAACTTCCAGTGTCTCCTGCAGACTCCCACATAGAAGACCGTCTTCTCTCCCAAGTTTTGAGTAGATTGTGATGGAGTGAGTAGAGTTAAGAAGCTGTTCGTGGGTCCTGGCTTGTGGTTCTTCAGCGAGCCTAGATCCTGGTGCTGAGCCTCCACCATAGGTCTTCCCAGTACATCACACACCCCAATCCCCAAAGCTTTCTCTTCCCTATGGGCCCCAAATGACATCACTAGGCTTTGACTTATGCTTTTTTTTTTTTTTTTTTTTTTTTTTTTTCTTTCGCTCTCTTCTCCCTGACCATGGCCTGTGTCAGACTTCTCTGGTTCTCCTGTTCTGGATCAAGTATAATACCACCAACAGATGGCACTGGGCTCCCTCCATGTTCTTCTGTCACACCTGTCCTTTCCTCTCCTTATTCTGTACATTATCTACGTGAAGCCTGTTGTCCCCAAGATCAGTACTAACCTCTGAGAAGCTAAATCCAAAGACACTTTTAAAATTCCATGCTATTTTCTCACTGCCCCTTTGAAACCTTTGATATGGGTAGATTTTTTCACTTTTGTCTTCCATCTCGGTCACTATAGATTTTTCCCTCCTTTGGCATTATCTCTAAAACTGGCAGTCATAAGCAAAAGTCCTAAGTACTTCTGTTTCATATGCTGTGGAATTTCATCAGTTCTGACAGCAGCAATGACACTGTGATCTAATGCCTCCCAGATACAGACTGAACTCCAGTAGCCTATAGGGCAGCCCCTTTGACAACCTGATGAGGCCACCATCTGGCCATGGTTTCCCTGTGTGATAAGACCTCACTTTTCTCTCCAGAAACATGACTCCTTTCTCATCTTCTCCAAGGGTACATTCAACATCCCTTTGATTTTCCTGCCTCAACAGCCATCCCTCCTCATCACTACCCATTAATATTAAGGTCACTGGGCATGGCTTCAGTAAACATGAGCTTAGTATCTAGTCTTTCCAATTACCCATCAGCTGAGAGTAAACTCAGATATATAATTTAACTGCCAGGTTCATGTCATTAGAGTATGTGGTTGCTAAGGTTCTTTCTAGGTCAAACTGTCTCTATGATTCCATGACTCAGAGTTTAATAAATCTCTGAACTATTGTAACCTCACTCTGAGTTCCTATTAAACTTTGCTTTATTGTTTACTATTATATATTAAGGCATTTGTTTCCCTTATACAAGTAAATAAGATCATGATGCATGTGTATATATCTCACTTGAAGCTCTATTCAACTACACAATTGGCAATACTAGGAACTTATGATCAGAATACAGAAATGCATGGAGCAGGCTTTGACCACAAAGCTGGATTCTGACCTGACTTTGCTACCAATTCATCTTGATTTTTTTCTGTCCCTGGGCCTTCAGTGTGTTCCCACTGGAATGAGAGGTTGGGCAAGGTCACTGTTTTTCAAAACACAATGAGATTTTACAAAGAAACCAGTTGGATGCACAATAGATAGGAGACCCGTTTTGGCTTCACAGGAAGTGATAGAGACACCAATGGCATTCCTGCTGCCCATCTATGGAACTCCCATGTGTCACAAAACACTGTTTGAATAACATCAGCCTAAATGATTTTTCTTCTAAGATGACTTTCAAAATTCTGTGGCTCCAAATATGTCGTACTATTTATTTGACTTAAATGACACTTCTCTTCAAATTCTACCGTGTGCTCCTAGACTTACAAAGCATCCCACCATGTTCTACGAAAGGCATTCCTTATTCCCTAGAGAATTTGCTAAGGAGAGGCATTTCAAAGGCATTGGCAGAAATCAATCTCTCTCTCTCTCTCTCTCTCTCTCTCTCTCTCTCTCTCTCGCGCTCTCTCTCTCTCGCTGTGTGTGTGTGTGTGTAAGAGAGACACAAAGAGAGACTATATGTCCACCACTGACCTGTAGATCCTGGTGCTGGGAACTCTGATGCCTGCAACCTCCAACTGATTTTTCCAGGGCATCAGCACTATATTTATATGTCTGATCAGGGTGGGTCAGGCCCACAACAATCTGTAATTGGCTCTGGAAGAGGGAAGAAGAGCACCAAGATTTCATAATATCTTTAGCACAGTATGGATAATAAGAAGGTGGTGAGATTAATAAGTGTTTGTGGAAGGGGGAGAGAGTCATCCATAAAGCCTTGGCAGAGGCTAGACACTGAGCTACTGTCTCTGTAACTAGTGCTGCTGACTGTGTTATTAGTGGTTTGGCAGCCAGATGAACAGTGCTGGGGTCAAACGCCTTTGATGTCCCATGGGGCTCCGTTTGAGACTCAGAGAGGTGGTTAATGCAAGAGAGATATCTGGAGGGCCAAGGACAGAATAACTGGTGCTTCTGGAAGCCAGATGTAGCCAGAGAACCAAAGTAAAGTAGGGACTGATCACATCAGTGACTCTGAGACGATGAGGGGGAAGTATTTTTCAGATTTAATTCATTGGTTCAAAATTAATGGGACAAAATAAGCCCAGCTGAAGAAGATGCTGACCGACTTGTACTGAGACTGTACAGGAGCCATGTACCCTGGACTGCTAGAGAATATGGTAAACATGGCAGAGTTGAGACTCAATTCTCTAGATGATGTCACTTAACTCAGTCCATCTGTCCACTTATCTGTCCAGTCAATCATCCATCCAATCATCTATGCATTCACTCACCTGTACATACATCCATTCATCCACCCATAACTAGGGGCAAAGAACTGGACATAATGTCCTGTGGAGAGTAACAGCCTCATTGTAATTTTCCCTTTCAAATCATTTGCAAATTTCCACAAAAGACTTGATGAGGGGTCAGTCTAAAACTCACAGAACGAAAAATGAGAAAAGGTGGGTGGGGATGAGACTGGGTTTTTGCTTTTGAGGCCCGTGCTCATTCTTTCCTGTTCCTCCAAAGTTTGCATTCCTCTGTTGGAAGAGCCAAAATGGAGGTGAGGTGTAATGTCAGGTGCCAATAAATGTGTAGCAAGTGTTTATACTGCTGTGGCAAAGACATGCAGTATACGGTCTCTGTTGTTAAGCAGCTGTACACTTCAGCTGGGGTGCTAGGTCATGAACCCTTTAAAGATGATATAGGTCATACTTTCTAAGCTATAAGCCAAGGGCATGTGAGAAACAGCAGTGTCAGAGAAATTCCTTGGGCTAAAAAAATTTTTGAATTCAAATGACCTTTGACTTGACATCAGAGTCTCCCTCCAAGGGGCTAAGTCTATGCCATGGAATCCTGAGAAATAGGTGGATGAGGTTGTTTCCCCAACAAGTCCAAGGTCAGGGATCTCATAGCCCCTGGAAAAAGCATTAATAGTATTCGTGATCTTTGTGGTTAAGATTTTTAGATCATTGAGGCAAACTTATCCTCTATATAATTTGTACCCACTGGTCTTATTTGTGCGTTCTGGAATTATAAAGAACAAGTATATTCTACTTGAAAACCTTTGGACGCTTTAAGCAGGGGGAGGCATTTTGCTTCTTCAGTACCTTTGTATCTTCCCTTATGACCTAATCATGAAACTTACCTGTTCCTTAGTATCAACAACTGGCACAAACCCCACATACTGTAGGCATTGCCCCTCTGTAAATATAGACCAAGACCTGTGGTTTCTAGCAAAATTACAGAAGGCAACCACTAGGCTGCCTTCACTTGAACAGCCATGCTGCCACTCTCCCAGTCCATACACACCCTTCTTACTTTTATTATTTCAACAATAATGAGACAAATGTGTTCACATTCCTTCCTTAACTGTAGAGTTAGAAATGTCAGCTCATCCAAGCTGAAGTCCTTTTTAACTCTGCTGACACTCTGAAGCAACCACTTCAACCTTCCAGAATGAAGTAGAATTTGAGCTACTCCCTTAAAGGTTTAGATGGGTGGAGGAAAGTGAGAGAATGTTCCAGAATGAGTTTCTGCTTTCTAGTCTCACCATGTTGCAGTTATTTGACAAGATTATGCTAGGTGTGCAAAGAGAAACTGATGCAGACCCAACCTTAAGGTCTGGGTGGCACAAACTCCAAGCCAATTTAGCGCATTGCTAGAGCAGCTGGACAGGAATCTCAACTCCACAAAGACTTCTTGTGGAAGGTGATATCTTAGCAGGGTATTGAAAAGTGAGCAATTTCTATAGGCAGAAAGAATGAGTAAAGATTCCCAAAACAAGAACATGGACCATGAGACTGTCTGGCTCACAGGCAGAGACAGCATGACTATGATAAGCTGAATCATAGTCTGGTGTCTGTGGCCCATGTCCTCAGCATCTCTGACAGGCCTGTGGTGGGGGATGTGCTGCTCATTGCCAAGAGAATCTCAGATGCATCTGAGCTGGAGCTGCTGAGGTAGGTGGAGGCTGCCTTTGCTATCCTGGCCACAACATTGATAGTCCGTCTGCAAACTGAACCTGCCAGGCTGGCTTGACAGGCGAGTTCTAGTGGGGTACTTGGGGCTCAGATATGAACCCCTCCTTTGCTCTCCCATGTTTTAGGTAGGAATATAAGAGACAGACACTGGCATATTGAATGAGAGGTACAGAGGTGGCCAAGGATGATTCAACATTATGAACATTTAACAAATGTAGCATAATCAACTTTTAAATAGAGTATTTGGGTATAAAGGGCTGATGTTCATTTTGAGAAGGAAAAGGAAAATTGCAATTGTGTTAAAATAAGTACACCTGTTTCTCTTTCCTTTAGTATTATTTATTGCAGCATAACAAGTTGCTCCAGAACCTAGAAACAACACATATTAATTAGCTCACAGGGTTCTGAGAGGCAGGAATCCAGAGTGGCTCAGCTAGACGGTTCTGTTTCAGTTTCTCATGAGGCTTCAATTGAATCAGCAGCTGGGCTGCAAGTGCTGATGAGCAGGACCTGCCTCTGAGCTCACGCATGCAGCTGTTGGTCATGGGGGAGACTTTAGCTTTTACTACATTGTCTTTATATGGGGCTGCTCACAGCATAGAAGCTACTTTACCCCAGAGGGGGCAGAGTGAGAGAAGGGGAGAGAGAGAGAGAGAGAGAGAGAGAGAGAGAGAGAGAGAGAGAGAGAGAGAGAGAGAGACCCAAATAGAAGTCATCAAGGTACCTTTTATTATCCACCCGCTGAAGGAGCCTATCACCACCTCTGCTGTATTCCACTCATCCAGAGATAGCACTGGTACAGTGTTAGAGGGAATTCATATGGGGAAATGAACATCAGAAGGTGGGGACCATTAGCAGCTGCACTCATTTCCTCCAGCTTCCGTAGTCAATTGTCCACACTTAGAAGTCCTAGATCAAGGCATCAGCAGGGCAATGATCCCTCTGAAGACTCTAGGAAGAATCCTTCCTCTCTTCTTTCTCGCTTCTGGTGGTTGCCACACTCCCCAACATTCTTTGGCTAGTGGCAGCAGCTTACCTGCAACCTCTGCCTGTCTCACAAGGCCCTGTTCCCTGTGCCTCCTCTGTACATCCCTCCTCCTCCTCTTCTTCCTCCTCTTCTTCCTCCTCTTCACCTCCTCCTCTTCCTCTCCTCCTCCTCCTCCTCCTCCTCCTCCTCCTCCTTCATTTTGTTGTTGCTATTCTTTTGAGACAGAGTCTTACTGTGACCACAGCTGCCCTGGAACTTGCTATGTAGACTGGGCTGACCTCAAGTTCAAAGAGACCCACTTGCCTCTCCCTCCAGAGTGCTGAGATTAAAGGCATGCACCACCAGGCCCAGTTGGGTCCTGTTCTTTAAAAGACGCTGATCAAGTGGGATTTAGTCCCCTTTAACCCAACGTGACCCTGCTTTAACTAGCTGTATCTGCAAAAAACCCTGTCTTCAGAAGAGGTCATAGGAGATTTGGGAAGGACCGAATTCAGAAAGGAAACTATCCAACCAACACAGAAGCCCTCTTGGAAGCTAAATCTCACTCCTTGGAATTTCTGAAGCTGTGACTGTCCCGGCTCAATACACAAGAAAGCTTTCATCTTTCCTTCCTTCCTCCCTCCTTTCCTTTCTGCTTGCTAAATTTTTTCTTTCTTTCTTTCTTTCTTTCTTTCTTTCTTTCTTTCTTTCTTTCTTTCTTTCTTTCTTTCTTTCTTTCTTTCTTTCTTTCTTTCTGTAAGTCCCATGCACAGCACAAACCCACCACATTCTCCTTCCTGTGGCTTTGCTGAGATCTGTTTTCTTCTCTCTGCTCCTGCCACCCAGAGCAGCTGAGCTCAATTTGGATTTCACTCCAAGGAAGCAGAAGCTGTGGGCAGTTAGAAATGATGTCCTCTCCACTCCCCTCCAGATTCATTTGTGTTCTAATTATTATGTAATCCATCTTCATTATCAAGAAGCTAACAAAAACAAAGAGCAAATAGAAGTCATCTATACTGCCCCTACCCGGACATTGCTATAAACTTCCAGACCTAAATGCAGAAATATATACTATTGATCAGTATTTTTTAATTAAAGTGAAATTTCAGGATGTGTTACTTTGTAGCAAGGTCTTCCCACTTAATGTTCATGAGCATTCTATGTGAGTAGAGACCAGAATCTGGGATTTTTATTGTACCTCGGGTTTCAAAACAGGACAGTGTACTTGGCCATCTTCTGTCCTCTCCCCTGACATCGCCACCCTCTCAGTCCAGGGCCAGAGGATGAAGGCACAGATGCAAAGACCACAGAAGGAAGTCAGTAGCAGTATTCAGGGGAGGAGCCCAGCCAAAGTTCTAATTTCCTAATTCTGTAACACCTTCTTCCCTACCCAATGGGGAATCTGAGGTACAGTGTCAGATTCACTGTGGGTGAATGACTCCCACCACTCCCACCCCAAGACTCTTTTTATGTTGCTCCAAGCTTATCTCTTGTACTTTTTTATAAGATTCCATATCAATAGTACCATTCAATGGAGAAGGCTTCTACGAACTGAGCACCAGACCTTAGAATTCACCCATACTGGAGAGTCAGAGTGGGAGACCTGAGAGCAGGAAAAGGAGTTAGTCACCCTCCTGGGGTTCCTCTGCCACCCCCTGCTCAGTGCCTGTGCTGACTGTCCAGGGAGTTTGGGGAAATGTGACACCCTAGTCACACTGCTGGAAGTAGAAGTCCACGATGGGAGCATCCCAGGTGGCTTCCTCAGGGATCTGGGTGAGTCTGACAGGCTGATCAGCTTCCGGCACTGTGCAGAGGAACCAGCCTGGGTAGGCGGCTGACTCGAAGCTGGAGGTGAGGCCCATATCCCGCCGGTAAAAGGTGAAGCTTTTGGATTCCTTGGCCCCAAGGTAGAGCTCCATAATGTTCACCGGCTGTAGCAGAGAGGCAGGGTGGGTGAGGAGCAGAAGTGGAGCAAGTGGGAAGGCTGGGCTGGGCAAGGGAGGGGTCCTCAGAGAGGAGGCAGGGCTCAACTAACAATGAGGTTCTACATCAGTACTACACTTGATGGAGAGGTTATCTATGGACTGAGCTATGCACCAGCATACCAAAGGTGCAGCACCACAGCAGAGGTGGCTGGCATCTGCTGCTGGCTCAGGCAGAGAGGGCAAAGATGCTGTGGTAGGACTCACCTCCAATTTCAGAATTGGCTCTTTCTCCATCCCACAAGACAGGCACTGGCTCCCTCCCTGGACACCCAAGATGACAGGGGACAGCCTGGCATCCAGTGCCCGATTAGGGACGACACTGATCTCCTCACCTAGGGGAAAGTGACAAGATACAAGAACCTTAGCTACCCTTCTGTCCATTCTCCCCCAATCATGGATTCCAGGGAGCAGGACCAATGGGAGGCATTCTGCCCCACAGCTTGGCCGAAGGGAAGCTCTAAGCAGTTAGCACATGGATAAAGCTAGTCTGTTAGCTGGTCTAGAGTGGACACTGAGGCCCAGGAGTATACTCTACTACCTCCCATCCCATCTGCATTACTCAGGGGCAAACCTTCAGTGACTCTCTAAACCCCAAGGGACCACCTCTCCAAGTACTTCCTTTAATGCCCCTGGCTCCCAGGCCTCTTCTCTGAATCTTGTCTTGTCCCATTAAAGTTGTTTAGATAGATGTCTTTAAATCCCATGGTAGTCTTGTGAGCAGAAGAGTATTTCAGTCTTCCCTGTGCGTTCCCCATCACTCCACATACCCATAGACAGACAGGCACACACACATTCCATCAGTACATGCATATGCACATAGATACAAGCACACATGTGTGTACGCATGCACACAAATATATACATAATCAAAACATGCACATATGCATACACACAATGTTCATGTGCACACATTACACATATATACAAATATATCTGTATACATAACCATTATATGTATGAGTTTATGCACACACAAATGCATATGTCCCAGTATAATGTATAAGTTATGTAGCAGAGGGATCTGCATCACTCTAGCACCCCATAAGGATACACAGGTAGATAGGTCTACAGTGTTGTAGAAAAGACCTGTCAAAGTAGGTGGGCACAGTGAGTACATATGAGGCCAGAAGGTGACACCTATTGGCCAGGTTTCACCACTGTGGGTGATCAAGAATCTCTAAAGAGCAGGGTGGAGAGGTAGAGTCCACCCACGTAGGAATGACTGTCTTCTCCAACCTTCTCTTCAGCATTGGCTTCTAAGAATGTAGAATGCCCCAAATAGCCTATCGCGATGGAACCACAAGCCATTTGTCCTGGAAAATATCCCACGTCAACATACAGTCTTCACCTAGGCCCCCACTTTCCTGAATGGCACCTTACCAGATGTGGCAGGCCTGGAGTCTGCAGACCTGAACTAATTTACAGAGTTGTTTGAAGGCCTTCTATACCTTTTCCCCTCACGCATTCAGAGACCTGGGTACCATGGGATCCTGTTCTGTCACCAACCTTTAATGACCTTCCCCACATGTAGCCCTCCGGCCAGCAGCTGGTTATCATGCAGATAAAGCACCTTCAAGGCTGAATCCTTCATTCTGAAATATCAGGAAGGAAAAAGACTCCATAAGGATTTTGTCCGGCTTGAGCTTTGGTGGGACTTGTCACGCTGTCACCATTGCTGTGAGTTCATATGAGTTACTGCCCAGCTGTCTGGAGAACTCTGTTTCCTGTGGTCATCTATCACCTCTGGCTCTCACAGTCTTTCCACCCTTCTTCCTCAATGAGAAGTGTGTAAGACACCCCAACCCTAGCTCAGAAACTATTGGCAACTGATGGCTGCTGAGGGGGAATCAATCTCATTTAAGGCCGAGACTCTGTATAGATTGACCAGGCTCCAGTGATGGACCCACACTGAAGGGCATGCATTTGGGGACATAAATTTAACTCAATAGGTATATACATGTATATGTATATGTATATGTATATGTGTATATGTGTGTGTGTGTATACATGTATATGAATTCGGGTGGGTAAGGGAATGCAGGTAAGGGAGGAGGTCTAAATATGATCAAAATATATTGTATGGGATTTGCAAAAATTCAGTTTAAAAAAACTTTTAAAGTTTTAGATGGAAAAAAAGACTCCAAAAGGGGAGGGGTGGGCACTCTAGCTTGCCCTGGCTCCAGAGGGCCCCCAACTCTACCAAACACAACAGCACTATTTTCATTCCTAGCTCTGTCAGCTGACCCTTCCACCTTCCTTCTGTTTCTGGAGTCTGCTCTTCCCCTCTATTCAACCTTCTATAGTCCCACCAATCCCCTCTCTGCTCTGTTAGAGGAAGATTACGAATTGGAGCCCAGTACTCTTTGAAGGCCAGGAGATCACCTCTCTAGCTTCCTCTTTTGATGTCCTTGACTCCCAGGCCTCTTTCCTTGACGAGCGTCCCACCAGAATTGTTTGGATATTTTTAACTCCTGTGGGATTCCTATGAGAAGAAAGGAGTCTTGCCTGAGCTGACTGTACACAGGGAGTTTTGAGGCCGAGCCACAACAACAAAACACCCTCTTGGAGCCTGACTCTCATTGCTGAAGCAAGACAGTGGGTTTAGTAACACTCAGCTCTCTTGCTCAGTAAAATTTGCTTCTTCAATTCTTATTGAAAATATCAGAGTGCTTTTACTTCTACTTGGCCATATATCCCATCCTGAGGAATTCCTTTCAATTTAAAGATCTTTCATTTTATTTTTCAGTTACTCCTCCTGTAGGATGTCAGAAGATTTTCTGTAAGGTAAACGGTGCATTCTAAGGCTGGCTTCTGCAGATGGTATATGGTAAAAAGCATGCAATGTAAAAATTATTTTGATGTCTGGCCAAAAGTTTGTGTGTGTGTGTGTGTGTGTGTGTGTGTGTGTGTGTGTATGTGTGTGTGTGTGTGTGGCATGTATGTAGACATGTTCATGCGTGTGGGAGCATATATGTGCAGGTGCATATATATGAGTGTACATGTATGTGTGGAGGCCAGAAGTCACCCTCAGGTATTTTCTTTGATCACTCACCAATTTATTTATTGAGTAGGGTCTCTTGCTGAACCTGGACCTTGTGAATTTGGCTAGTCTAGCTGGTCAGCTTTTCCCAAGGATACCCTGTCTCTGCTTCCCAGGTACTGCAATTATAGGCTACTCCCACCCCAAACCCACCCAGCTTTTATGTGGGATCTTGGAATCTGAATTCTGGTAGTCACACTTGTGCAGCAAGCACTTTATCCGTTGGGCCAGCTCTCTAGTGTCAAACATGATTAGAAACAACATTTCCCATCTTCACCTAGTCAGAGAGCACCACTATGCAAAGCATCTCGTGGGACTGAGTCCTAAAGAACACACTTTGGGAAATCCCATACAGTAGTCCCTTGGCATCATGGGAATCAATTCTGGGACCCCGAAGACACCAAAACGCACAGGTGCTTAAGTCCCTCATACAAATGGCTGTATTTTCACTCAACTAGTGCCCATACTCCTGCATACTTTAACCATCTCTACATTACTGAACTAGCTAATACTATGCAAATAGTTAATGCTGCATTTTAAGGGAACAATAAGTAAAAGTCATACATATTCACTACACACGTACATATTTTAATGTTTTCAATCCACAGTTGATTGAATCTGCCCATGTGGAAACCACAGATACAGAGGGCTGACTGTTGTAGACTGAGTTCAGTGAGAGTAAGGACCATGCTCACTCATCACTGTAAACTCTGGAGCATCAGAGTGCCTGGCTCAGTGCATTTGACAGATGGACAAATTAGGCCAGAAGAGCTCCAAGGGTAGTAAGTGGGGTGTTGGCCCCCTCTCCCAGCCACCTTTGAAAGCCCAGCTGAGACAAAGACCCTTCCTGTCTACTCAGACTCACTTTTCTGAGGACACCACCAGGTCAGAGGCCCAGATACTCACCGGAAACACAGCGCCCCGCTCAGGACCATCGTACCTCCGCAATGTGTAGACCCTATTTTGAAATAAACAGTCAAAAGTTTTAGGCATAGAAAAGGCTAGGCGATCAGAAGCCTGAGTAGAAAGTAGGCTGCAGAGCCTCTCAGCATGTGAACACCCTCTACTGAGCAGGAGATTTCTGGATCTTGGAGTCAGGAAAGGCCTAATCTTCCAACCCCAGGAAAGATACCTCAGATCCCTCCTTTCTCCTGGCAGGAGCCCGTGATTGTCTGCCTGCTCCTCCAAGATAACATCCCTTGGCCCTCTAAGTACACTAATGACCCAGGGAGGAGCCCTGAAACTCACTGTAGGGAGGAGCAGGGTTTCCCAGAGTGATTTCACACCAACCGAAGCTTCCAGAAATACCAGCTGTTGTTCTTTATCATTCAAGGAAGGGAGCTTCTGCAGACAGGCTTCTTCCAAGGACGGTGGGGGACTTCCTTGGGGGCTTCCCAGCTCTGCTTGGAACACTCAGCTGCTGCAGGAAGCAGCTCAAGGAAGCTAGAACAACCTTCTTTCTTCCCTCCCTTTATCCCTCCCTTCCTTCAGTCCCTCCTTCCTTCCTGCCTTTGCCAGACATAAGGAGCAGTTGGAGGTGGAGACTTCCGCTTAGGAATGTTTGGGCAACAGGTTCATTGTAGAAAAACCAGAAAATCCAGAACAGGAACATAGGAAAACATGCCTACTTACCTGTCTTTGGATACAGTATCAAAAAACCAATGTCAACACTTTTTCCTCTCTGCACATTTAACCACAGGCAGCTCTCCATGTGACGGACCACAGAAACTACACTCCTTTCCACTGCACCTTTTAAAAACTTTTTAATGTTTATTTTTATTTTGTGTGTATGAGTGTTTTGCCTCTGTATATGTACATGTACCTGTGATGTGAAAAGTTCGTGGAGGCCAGAAGAGGGTGTCAGATGCCCTGGAACTGGAGTTACAAATGGGGATTAACCACCGTGTGGGTGCTGGGAAGCAAACCCAGCTCCTCTGCAAGAACAGTCAGTGTTATTATCTGCTGAGCCATCGCTCCGGCCCTCGATCTGCATCTTTATATGGAAAGATAGCAGAATATCTTTCCACACTAAGCCTGGTAATGATACTGTGAATTTGAATAGCTATGTGGCATTGAATGTATAGCTGCAGCATCATTCCATGGTCACTGACCCATCAGTGTATCTGTCCCTGTCAGAGAGCCTTCCTATTGTTGGGTTTTGTTGCTTTGTTTTGCTATTGAATATTCGGTTTTGATAAACCTCTACAAGTCTATAATTTGTCCTTCTTAAATACCTGATTGATAAAGTACTTTGTGATTGTAGGATAATGAATGCATTTTTAATATCCTTACAAGTTGTCTCTGTTAGCATTAGAAGGGTCAGTATGTAACAAACACTTTAGAAGTCTTGAATACTATGGAAAAATATTGATTGTTGAAGCACAAATTAAAAAAAATTAGTATTCAGACACATGAACCAAAAAGATCTTTTATGATTCAAGAATAAATAAAATATCAAAGTGTGCGAAGGATAGAAAGGAACACATATTAACATAATACTACTAATATGATAAGTGCTGTTCACGAAAATAAATTTAACGCAGAAGCTGTCTTATGCAAAATATTAGATGGGCTATTCATTGACCAAATAGGAACAATATTATATTTTTTAAATCAGAACAAAATTCCGGAAAGAAGTAGCCTATAGGCAAAGCAGTTTTAAGCAAGCTGATTCTTATCCTGTCAGAGAAGTAGACATTGTTTCACCCAAAGAGTCAGAATGCCGTCTGGCCGGGCCACCTTCCCTCACTTTCTACCCAAGCAAATTGTGCCCAGGTGCAAAGTAGATACTGTGATGCCGCTAGCACAAGTGTTTCTACCTTCTGCCTGACACAGAGTAATGCCTGTGTGTGGCTGGCCTGCAGGAACGAAATGAGCTTGCTGAGGTATACAGGGATGTCTCTGCCAACTTTGTCTGTATTGACATGAGGATCCATGCAAGGATGAATTAATGGAAGGATACATGAATGAACCAACAAGAAAGTGAAAAAATAAATTAAGTAAACTTTGCTAAGAAAGTCTCTATACTTAAACATAAGAGAAAATGATGTCAGTATGGGGTTTTGATCTCCTACTGGCACATCATGAAACAGGTGCCACTGGAAATTATTTGTCTCCAGAACATATCCCTTGGTTTGATTTACTGATTACTATGGACTAGGTCCCAGTGTGTGTATGCCTATCATTTAAGTGTCTCTATCAAAACTCATGCTGGTGTGTAACACTGCACTATACACAGTAGCCAAGCTATAGAAACAGCCTAAGTGCCCATCGGTGGATAAATGGATGAAGAAAATGTAGCATATAGATATCAGGGAGTTTTATTTACCATAAAAACAACAAAATTATGTTACTTGCAGGAAAATAATTGAAACTGGCTCTCATATTAAATGTACTAAGCTGGTCTCACAAAGGTAAGCCGTGCCATTTCCTCTCATTTTGTGGAATTTAGTGGGACGAAAAGAACAAGAAAGTAAAAGGAGGGCTGTGGAAGCAGAGAGGGGAGGAGAGATAATAAAGGTAACAGAGGTAATAGTGAGGGCATGTATGGTCAAAGCATATTATATGCACATGTGCAGTGCCATAATGAAACCCATTGCTTTGTACAACCAATAAACACCAATACAAAAATAAGCTCATTCTGAAATTTAACCTCACAGTGAAGTATTAAGAAGTGGGGCCCTATTGGGACTTTTAAGAGGTGATTAAGTCCTGAGGGCAGAGGAATGAGTTCATTCAGTTAAGGATTAATGGGTCCATGAGTTAACAGATTATCTAGAGAGTGGGTCTATTATAAATGCCAGCTTGGCTCTCTCTCCCGCACAGGCCTCTTTCACTGTGCAATGCTCTAAGCTGCTTTCTTAGGATTCTAAAAAATCCTCACAAGCAAGAGGGGACTTCATCAAATGTAGCCACTGACCTTAAACTCCCTAGCCCTCAGAACTGGGAGTCAAATAAGCCTCTTTTCTGTATAAACTAAGCCAACAAAAGCAGACAGAGGAACAGATTCTGTGAAGTTAGATGTGAACCAAGACAAAATTGACAAATCGCAAGTTTCTCTTGTATTGTGGCTTTACAATCCATTAAGTGGCATTTTAATTAGTAACTTACTCCAAGATCTCTTTCCCAGCTAATAAACCCTCTGTTCCTTGAATCATACTTTTGTTTCTGTCTCTTTTCCTTTTCTTTTTGAGGTAGCATCCCGCCATATATCTCAAGCGGCCTTAAACTCTGAGGCTTCCTGCCTTAGCCTCCTGAGTTCAGGGACTGCAGGCATGCAGCACTGTATCATCCTGTTGATTCCCTAACTTATTAATAACAGCAAAATTTTGACTTCTGCTTACTATATGTTTGTATGAGAGTCCCGTTTTGAACTTGTTAAATTAAACTTGAGCGCTAAGGACGGTATTTTAGCCTGAACTCACGCATCCTATTTGTAGATTTACAATATGTCCACAAATACTCAGAGGGGCATATTTCAGAGGGGCACTGGGGGCCGTAAAGGAAGAAGTGAGCAAAGCACAATATGACATGACAATGTCTCGTTGAAACCTATTATTTTGAATGCTAACAAACAGTAATAAAGAACAGTTCATCCTGCAAGAGATGGTACTTCGTTCTTCTTCCCTTGAAGTGTGGGCTATACCTGGTGATTTGTATCTAATAAACAGTTTCAGCTCATGGTGGGAAACAAGTGTGTCGCTTCTGGTGTTGGGTCTTAAGAGGCACTGCTGCTTCCTCCTGGCTCCTTCCTGGATCATTCATCCAGGGGAAGTCAGCTGCCATGTGACAAAGACATTCCTGTGACCCTAGCCTACAGAGGGGCCCAGAGAATGCAGAATAGAGGCCTCCTGCCAACACCCATGAGGATCAAGCTCTGAGGCAGATCCTCCACCACAGTCAAGCCTTCTGATGGCTACAGTCCCAGCTGACATCTGGCCTCTAACCTTGTGAGAGCCCTGATTCCCAGAGCTATGCAGAATTGGGGGATCATATGTTAGACGTAGTAATTGGTAGCTAGGACACCTGTCATCACGACTGCCAATTGTGCCACTGTTGATTTTTCATTCTCCACAGTCTTCAGGGGGTTTCTCATCTCCTCAGCAAACAACCCAATTATTCCTGGTCTTCATACGCCCCAGATCATGACACAGTCTGAAAAGGGGCAGTGTCCCCCAGGTGACTCACCATCACCTTTGTGAGGAAAGCAGGACCCTTGAAGGGGGAAAAACAAAGTCATAATACAAATGTATTCACCTTATGAGCATGTAAGCACAAGAATTCAGCACAGAAAGATAGTAAATACTTGTTAGGGTCAGTTTAATGATCATTAAAGCAGCATATGCTTGTTTAGTGTCCTAAATTCATTTTATGCCCCTGAAGTTATATTTCGTGATTTGCCTGCCTTCTTGCATTTCATATACCTGTGGTTAGCAGCATTATTATCTGTTTTAGGGATGTGGAATCAGACAGAGAAAGAGTCATTATATTGCCTGGTATGTATTAGCAGTTGACACCAAGATACAGCACAGCCGTCAGTGATCTTTCTACTATCTGAGTCACACCTTGTCACTCTTCTGGTCTCCATAGCTGTGAGGACAAAAGACAAGCTCTCTCTCTGTCTTCTAAGGCCCTACAAAGCAAGGTTTTCACTAATCATTAGCCCCTCTTCTCACATTAAAGTCAGTAAGAACCTCATGGACCGCTTAGTCTTCCTTGAACAAGCCAGGGATGCCCTACCCCAGGGCCTTTGCACTGACTTCTCTCCTTACCCAGAAAGCTCTTCACCAATGTGTCAGCATAGCTCACTCTTTACCTCCTTTACCTGAATGCCACCAATGAAGCCTGCCTTCACCATGCTGTGCCTCCCTCTCCTGCACCCACGTTTCCCTTACCATGCTTCATTTCTTTCTGTGGTACTCAACACCATTTAGTATATTTATAATGTCAAGCATAATGGTGATTATCTGTCGATTCTCCCATTCAATATAGCTAGGAGATAAGCACACATTGGAGTGGTTTTTCCTGTCTGTTGTGTGGATTGGTGAAACCAAAGTCCTTTGGGTGGTCCTGGTATGCAGAGTGTCTCCAATAAATAGATACTGCATCAACAGTGGATGAATTATATACTATATCTACAGTACCACACCTACAAAGGCTGAGGAGTTGTCTAACATTTTGCTCACGATTATTATTTTATTTTCCAGAGAGATTTGATGCTCATGGGTACTCATTTTCCTGGTGGAGCAGTTAAGAGCACAGGTTTGGGGGCAGGGCTGAAAAAATGGCTCAGTGGTCAAGAGCGCTTGTTGCTCTTGCAGAGGACCTGAGCTTAGTTCCCAGCACCCACATCAGGCAGCTCACAACCACCTGTAACTCCAGTTCCAGGGGATCCAACACCCTATTCTGGCCTCTGTGAGCACCCTCACTCACATAGTTCACATACATACACGT